TGAACGAGTTTTCGAGGGCAACTGCTTAACCCAACCGCCCGCACTGCATTGACGCTTTGCATCCAAAAGGCTGATCATCCAAAAGAAATTGCTGGAGAGCAACTCTCAATATGTTGCACTTGGTAGAGCCGACGCCATGAACGCCTTCAAGTTTATATTTTGGCTAGGCGCACATTAAATTTAGTTGTATAATCGCTATTTGTCAACATTGCTCAAATCAATTCCATGTGTCTATCTTCAGACAGTTTCAATCAATTTAATTCAGATTATTTTAGTCAATCGTGCTCCCTTAAATTCATATTTTATTATTGCTATGGTCATTTTAGAATCGGTTGAACACGGTACGTACATGCGAGGACAAACCCTTATTGCGTGGCACCTTTTCACCCACGACTTTGGACTCTACTGCCCACGACACCCCAACACTGAATTACATGTCTTTAGTATTGCAAATGTTTCAGTTGATTTAATGTTAACTGTTTTTTTTCAATTAATTTTCAATTTTTAAATTATATTTGACCTGGTTTAGCTAAATAAAACCATGCAACTACTGAACCGAGTTCCAAGCTCGGGTGCTACCTGGTTAAGGAACTGGGAGTTGCACCCTCTGAACAGAAATTCGTTCTTGTTTATGATGTTGCTGTGCTGGTGGCTCGCGACGCGCATCCGAAGGGAAGCGGGCAGCGCCCTCAGGACCCTGGCTTCATCGTCGGCCATCGTCTTCTGCTGCTGAAACTCGTAGTACTTTATCAGCCTGTTCTTCAGATCTTCGGGAAGGTTCCTGGTCGTGCAGTATATGGACAGTGCCCGCATTTCCTGCCTGAAGGCCTCGATGTTGGCGTCCTTCTTCACGACGTAGTGAAAGAGCGTCCCTAGTATGTACGCCTGCATGATTATCTGCAAGAAGATGACCAGAATGGAGAAGGACATTTCTTCTATCCTCTGCGGGACGATGGGGTCATAGCCAAGGTTCGTCAGCCCGTTGAGCCCCTGCGGAGCACGTTCAATAGCTTATACATTCTTGGACATCAGGCATTTGGCGACTTACCATTGTGACCGTTTGCGACATTTAATGCAGGACAGGGCTGTACTAAACCAGCGAATCAGCTCGCGATTGGCGCGGAGAGGTAATCATACACTGCGTTTCAATTCTAGATCAATCGATGAAACGCAGCGTACTGCGCACTGGCAAGTGTTATGCCTTACATGCTCTTCTACCAGAAAGTGCAGATGGGCAGGAACCCATGGTAGGCACATGCTTACATGCTTACCTTTGCAACATCCCTACGTGATCGCAAATTTTGCTGATGCCATTTATTGATAGTTTAACACAAAGGCGATCCAAAACCACCCAAGAGTTCACCCGCTGTACACACAGCGTCGTCGATAACTGCCCTGACTGGCCGGGTTCCATCCAATCTCGGGGGAGATCCGATGCGCCCTTGATTCAGTTGATTTCTCTGTTTTTGCGGCATAGGACCATATCTTTGCGTGGTGCGCATTCACTGACATCGCGGTGGCGAAGAGCTGCCAAACATTAACTGAAGGCTCGGCAGCCAGCAGTGCATCAGGCGGCCTTGACCCTTCCGGAAAACTTATAAACACAAGCGGAGGCTCAGTTTCCAGCGCACGATGCACGGTGTCTGTGTGATTCTGGTCGCGGCCCTTGCCTTGTACAGGGTGAGGAAGTACGGCGCGAATATGGTACCCTCGTATCCGCAGCCCAGGTCCATGGAGCTCATGTTGTAGAACTGCTCCAGCCAGGTCACACTCAGCTCCCTTTCGTCAAAGCCGCTGAGCCTGGAGATGAAGAAGAACATGCAGCCGACGTAGTGGGCGGTGCCCAGCACGAGGACGGCGAATTTGAAGAAGGCGATGTGGCGTATGTTCAGGTGGACCATGAGCTCCCTCGCCCGGAAGTACTGGTACAGAGCCAGGGGCCGGCTGGCGCGGGGGATGGCGGCCAGCCACCACGTCCACACCGGCCACCGCAGCAGGGGGGGGATGTAGATGCTCACGCAGGAGCATATGTCCAGAATCATGCGCTTCAGCAGATAGTTCCTGCGTGTCCGGGCATGCAATATCAACGGCTGGAATTCGGATGTCCGTTTGTGCTTAATGATGCGCTGGACGGCACACACGCGACAGCTCGTTGTTCGTTCTGTACGCACAACTTGCCCTTGTTCTTGAAGCAGTAGTCTGCCGATCAATTCTTAGTTGTGTGTGTCTCTGTTGAATCCGATTGAAAATTGATGTGATTGATGGCATTTGCATGTCGCTGAGTTGATGGCCACGGGATTCAGTCCTCTGAACACGTGGCGCAGAATCGCTTCATTCAACTGCGTTGCATGTTCAGCATTGTTACTTTGCAAAGTTCCGATGATGGGAACATCAATGTGGCAAATCGGAAACAGCTGTAATGATAAAATGCCTCTGTCAATTCGACGAGGAGTCAATAGCACGTGTGCGAATAAAGGAATGCGGGGATTGACGAAACATGGTAATTGAAGTCATTTGACAGACGCACCTGTCAAATGGCTTTAATGATAATTTCCTTATTACCCATATTTAATTTTTCTCTAATCTGTTCTGTTCTTGATACGCAAGCAGATTTTAGTTGTGTGAAGGACAACTAATTGTAGTTCGCCCACAATTGTAATTTGCACGAGTAAATCACATTTCTCCCCGCTTAATCCTGTGTATCTACAATGTGAATCTGTGTATCCACCTAACCAATCAACAAGCTCTGGTTCTTGGGAATGTGGTTTGGAATTCAGTACTGTACAATACAATCAACGCATCGCAGATGCGCGATGCCTTTATCCGAATTCCATCCCCTTTCCCGGTATATAATGGGAATAAATTTGGAGAAATATAAAAAAAGGAATGGAAATACAAACAACAGATTGAATGATTCAGATGCATGGCGTGTTGATACCAATGCATGACGTGTAATGGGATGTTTTACAAAATCCTGAGATCTTTGTCGTACATCAAGATCGCGATGTTCATGAAGGCATGCAGGATGCTTTGGGGCGTAGGATTTTAGCGTTTAGTTTCTTAATGCCCTTGTAACCTTCATGACATTCATATACAGTAATTATCAGTATCGTACACACCTGGAATATCTATCATTGATAGTGCCTCATAACTTTCCGTTAAACTTGATGCTCGGGAGATGAGCTTTCTAGCATTTCACAATCGAAAATCTTCATTTCGCCGCTCCCGCATTCATATACTGCAATGATAAGTATCGTGCAAACCTGGAATATCTATCATTGATAGTGCCTCATAATTTTCCATCAAACTTGATGATCGGGAGATGAGATTTATAGCATTTGGCAATCGAAAATCTTCATTTTGCCGCTCCTGAATTGAATAAATCTTATCTCATAGTAGTTGCAATTTTTCTCATAGAAGTTGCATGGTTCGGCGCTTCTGGTCGTGTGAAGATGCACGGGATGCCGCACAGCCAAGGCAGGTGGCATTGCATATCCCAACACCAACGTGTTAATACAATTTTAACACTGAATTTCCCCCACCCTAACCCACCCCACCCCACCCCACCCCACCCCCCCGCACCCCACACACACATAAGACACGCACGCCAAGGCGACGGTGGCGAGGAGGGCCGGAGTAGTGCAATGTTGTGCTAAAGCACAAGAGTCGCCAATCCTCCCAATTAAACCTTCAAAACTTGTCGCGCAGCCGGCCAGGAAGCAACCCTTGCCTGAAGTTCGGCTTCCGCTGCAGGAACTTCAGCACGGCCTCCGCGGACGACAGGTGCGCGCCGTGCATCAGCTCCGGGTCTTCTATCCCGTGGTCGGTGCCCACCCTTATGCTCCACTGGGACTGGTGGCTGAAGGGCGCTCCCCTGGGGGCGCTCCAGCGGCCAATGCTCCCCGGCGCGACCTTCCCGTTCCCGCCGCTCAGGACAAACCTGCCGTCCGTGCGGCCGCATTCCATGGCGGACCTACTGCTGCGCTCGTTGAATCCCTGCACCGAATTAGCAGACGCGATGCCGCCCCTCTTGCGCGAGGCGGGGCGGTCGGGGACGGGTATCCTGGGCAGGCGCGCCTTCCAGTCCGTGGCGGCCGGATCCGTGGCCTCGCTGATGATGTGCTCCGACAGGAGGTACCTGTTCAGGGGCGTCTCCAGGCCTCTGAAGGAGCGCTGGGCCACGTTCAGGGTGGCTTCAAAGGTGCTGTACTCGTGGCCGTCCGTCGCTCGATCTTGCTTGCCGGCGGCCGAGGTCTGGTCCGCGCCGAGCTGAAACGGGGACGTTGTCGTCAGCGGTGTGTTCTACGCATCTGCACATGCATTTCGACCATGTGCGTCCCACCATTGCAGCTTCTGGGAGTTTTCGCAAGGGCAGAAGATGCGGTAGTGCGTGCTGATCAGAATCCATGAACTACATTTGTCGCAAAATGACAAAACACAACCCGTGCACCTGGTAGGCGATGATGGGCGTGAAAACCAAGCAGAAAGTGTGTTCGGAATCGATTATTCATGGTCCCATATGGTCCCATATAGTGCGCGCAGAGGAAAAGCAATTTAGTAACGCGTTAAGGAACCTCCCGTTTGGATTGCTTTTGTTACCCTTTGTTGTTTGCCACACCTGTGTAGTTACTGCACAATGGTTCTGGTGCCTGCCTCGAGTGCAGTTGGCCAACACGACAAACCGCTCGCGGCCGTACAATCTTGGCCTACCACCATGATCGATGCTGTAAACCCCTTTGGGGCCCAAACCGTGTGTCGCACCTTGCACCTAAAGATAATTTACACTTGAGCGGACAGTGCTATTGAGTATTTTCAAAACCGCAATCATAAATTAATTTCACGCAATCAAATAGTTTTGCTATAATAATATAGTGATACTCTGCGGTAGCTGCTTTGACTGAAATGGCGGTTGGCGATGCGTGCCCCATCAACGGAGCACTCCATTATTGTGCTTACCAATTATTAATACACTCATAAACGCACTTGCATTCCGCACCCACCCGAGACAGGAGTGTGAGCAGGATGTCCACTGCGAACAGGAAGTCGAATGTCACGTCCAGCCAGAAGGTCCAGCCCTTTGTCCACGACGAGTCCAGCAGAGGGTAGCACCTGTGGCGCCCCACGCGCCCTTTTCGAAAGCAGGTTGAGTTTGAGAATCGACACCTATTCGTGGCCCTTGAGGAATACTGGTCCATGAGGAACGCAGGTGGCTTCGCAGTACACCAGTAGAAAACAGCCTGTTTGCGATGCCAGCTGCGATGCAACTTGACGCAAATTGATGCCATCACAGCCCCTTTTATACCATCGCAATCGCTGTGACGGCACCACTTTCTGTCAAAATGGTATCTCAGCTGGCATCGCAGACATGGCGTTTTCTAGTAGTGGTAGTTGCACATGGCCAAGTCAAGGGAAAGCACTCCGATTCTCTGGTTAGTAGTAGCAGATGCGGGGGTTGCATTTTGGCCAGCGCCTTCTCAGCACTAATGCGTTGTTGCGTTGAATGTACATGCGGCAATATCAATCAACGGCAACGGGTCTCATCACGAAAGGATCTTCTGGAAGGATGCAAGGGGCGTGCATGAACATGCCAACATCGCAGTCCACTTGACTCACTTTAGCTCTTGGATTCGTCCGTATCCCGTGCCCCAGGCCACGCGAAGAGGGAGCATCCAGAGTTCGTATATGTACATGACGATCTTGAAGTCTTCCCACCTATTCATGACCGCCCCTCGAGCGGATAGCAGCGACAGCAGAGCGTCGTATGTCGTCGTTGGCCGACTCGCCTTTGGCTCGGGCACGGATTTCTCGTTCTCCACTTTCCATTTCAACTGCGTAACAGGAAGTGGCAACGTCGTCAGCACCAACAACAATATGTTTTCAGACTTTTAGTACCAAACCTTAGCAACAAAGTTATTTCAACGTCGAAAAATTAAGTAGGTGTTTATGACAACCGTCCTCGGTTATTAATACCAAAGTGCAATATGGCCCATCATGAACGATTTTCCGTTTGCGTTTTTTCTGTGCTTGTACATGCTCTTTCATAACTCCTGCCCAATCTTGCGAAAAATATGCGCAATTGCGTGAATATGTAAGCAATTTCGCATATCACCTTTCCGAACCTTTGAACCTCAAGGGTGGTAATGAATTGAAGTATCGAATTTATCAAATCTAGGAAAAGAACACGGGTCTTGGGCCATGCAGGCTATGAGAACCGCGCAACCACAATCGAATGCTCTCCCAGCTGGTGTACATCTGGCGTACAGCACAGAAAACACCAACAGTGGGTAATTTTGTTTTTGCGAAAAGTGATGTAAGCTTCAGTACTTTACACTACTTGCTTGTACCAAATTGTCCTAAAGGGTGTTGAATGAGGATCCTAGCAGCAAAAGTAAAAGGGCGAAAGCAACACCCAGCAGGCTTGTCAAATACATTTACGACATCTTTTTTGCGTTTACGATTTTACGGTTACAAACGTTTCAATACAGAAACTGCCATTTTTACGCTGTAATTACGCATTTTTCTCGCTCGTTGACACACCCAGGTTACATTATGTTCCCAACAATGACCAGCCCTCCGGCTCCTCGAGCCCCCACAAAACAGCGTCCACCTCGCCCTAATCAAGGGCAACTACGCAAGGGCGCTTTCTTCCCACCCCAGCGCATCTAGCCACCGCTCTCCGGACTCCTTGAGTGTATGACTGGCGTTATGTACACAGCGCCCATTTTTACGCAGTTTTACGCCTACTTATGCGCAAAAACGTGAAAACTGTTTTGCGCATAAATGCGCATGAACGCTTGAGTATCACTAGTAAAAAACTGGCCAGATGACACAGTCCTGACAGGGTTTGCTCAAAATCTAACTGTGTACTTTCGGCAAATGTGGTACCAAAAATACACATTTAGTACACACATTGACACAGTTTTAACCGTGCATCCTAGGAAACCGTGTAGTATACACAGTTGTGTGAGGGTACACGGTTGAAACTGTGTCAATGTGTGTACTAACTGTGTATTTTTGGGACCACATTTGCCGAAAGTACACGGTTGGATTTTGAGCAGACCGTGTCAGTACTGTGTCATCTGGCCTGTTTTTTCCTAGTGTATTACGTCCTAAATAGCAATTTTGACACCCAGAAACGGGGAATTACGCCGATCGAGGAAGGGCATCAGTGAGTTCGTTGGATTTCACGTGCACTTGTAGTATGCATAGGACAAACACAGCGGTCAAGGAAAGTGGCAAACCCCAGAAAGGAAAGTCACAGACACATCCCGTGTATCCAGGCCAAACGGCCTGGATGGAAGAGGGTGCAAGCTCAAGATTCGCACCCATGTCAATCCCCTAAATGCAGGGGAGATCCGAAAAATCGGCCATAGCGCGACGCATATTGAGCGCCATTTCTGGCTCTAGCCTCTCTGAGAGACTATCGCAAGAGAGCCTCTACCTGAGAGCCTCTCTCGTGGCCATGGGTGACTGCCATGAGCATGGAGGGCCTGGATCTTTGGGATATAGTCTGATCGGCGCTGGCTGCATTACCTTTGCGTCAGTGAGGTGGCAATGTTGAAGGTCCCCACTTGGGATCTGAATTCAGATCCCATTGTGTAATGAGGGACACCCGGACCTCAAGGGGGCCTTTTTTGGCATATTCGGCCGGACTACGATGTTCGACTCGACTTTTCGACTACATCCGCGAACGTTGGGAGTGGTCCCACTCAATGCAATAATTCCGTCGATGCTGTTATTCGCAAGGTGTTTTATGAGCATCGCTCATGTTCATAACGGGTAGGCCAGTGCAATTTTGAAAAAAAATGACAGCTACTTGATATAGATACCTGCTCAAAACAAAACCTGTCAGCATTGTTCCGAGCTACGTGAATACGGTGGATTCAGCGAATGCGAATCATGTGAATGCGGTGCTGCGCAACGGTCTGTCTGTTTTCGTCGGAGCTTAAGCTCCTTAAGAGCCCCAATATTTACCGAGGTCTTCCAATTTTCGCAAATTCGGGGTGTCTGGCGTTAGAACTGGGGGAATTCGGGACGTTTCTTGCTCATGCGTCGACGCCTCAGCCACCCACTGCCGGCCCGTTTCGGCGGAGAGCTCACCTTGCCCGCAAATTTCACCAGCAGAAAGCAAGATTTTGCGATGCCAAACGCGATGCCATTTGACACTAACTGGTGCCATGGCAGCTAATTTTATGCCATCGCAGTAACTGTGATGACGCCACTTTGTGTCAAAATGGCACCGCAGCTGGCATCGCCGAAATGGTGCCTCCGCTAGTAATTTGAGCCTCTAAGGTAAACAAAGAGATGTGAAGTCTCCGTTGAATATGCAAATTTACGCAGAGTTCAGAGCGACTGTGCCGAAGTTCAACTGCAACAGAAGATTCTGTGAGGATGATTCAAAGATACTGCATGCGTTAACGAATTGTTTAATAGGCGTTTAGCCTTTCTGGGAAGTGGTTGTGGGACTTGGAATTTATTCGTTTGCTCTTCAATTAAATTTTCCCTGGGTCATTCACTACATGCTCACAACTCCACGATTTCCCACTGACGCTCAGGCACACTGAGCATTTCATACACCTTGTAATGCACACCACAAAATTCCATCACATTGAGTACCACAAACTTGCGGTTGAGAGTCCGTTTGGGTGGGTGCGCCCAATGAGAAAAAATTTCTTCAATCCAGACTGAAGGTTGTCGACGGACTGCTAAACGTTATGTCGAGTCAGATAATGCTCGCTTGCGGGCCGGTCTAATTCCCGTGCGCACCATTTTGGCCGTCCTGGGGCGGATCTTGCGTGTAGGTATCTTGTCCTTGAAGAAACTTTTAACAGTTGTCTCCGAATTGGATCTCGTCACATCAGGGCGTTCGTGCATTCTCTCCAGCACATATCCTCTGAAGTTTCAAACATGCAGCGATATGAGTACATGTGTCATCGCCATTACATCCAATGACTTTGGCCATGCTGTTGAACGTGTTTCACTTTCAGAGGCATTTTTAAGTAAGCATTCACTGGAGAAATTTTCTTAATTTCACATAGTTCTATCTATACTCAAATTGTGTTCAAATGAGACCAAATTGTGCACTTGAAGCTTGAACCGTGCTAGCATGGCCATGGTAACACGGCTCAACGATTTGGCGCTATGGTACCAAATCGTGTTATGTTGACCGCATTTTCAGCGTCCTTTTCTATTCAGAGGATTTTGTCAAAGCGGTTTTGAGATTCGCTAGTACTTGCAGTCATAAATTCAGACAACTGCACTGTTGTATTGGGCACGGACCTGCGTTTTTCAGATTGCGGTTTCATTAACGTACGCAATGAATCTTCTAAGCAATTACAGTGCTGTCACTAGACACCGCGAATGTCTGTCGGTCGGCTGTGAACGCAATTTTACGACAGGTATTGTGAATGGTACCTAATGGCCATCACCAGTAGAAACCATCCTTTTTGCGATGCCACCTGCGATCCCATTTTGACACAAATTGATGCCATCACAGCCCCTTTTATGCCAGGCTGTTTTCTACCAGTGCATTAGGTACGGGAAAAGGAGCCCATTTAAATTACCCATGGGTAGAGACAACAACGGTGCGCTTTTCGCAATGACATTTGGCGCGTTAATCTCTTGCATGGGATCAGAGCGATCAATTGTTGAGACACTGCATAGAATCCAAAAACGTAACCCCGAGGCGTGGCGCCGGCGTATTGAAACACAGAATAAATTCTTCGTGGTTTGTCGTAAGTAACAGATTTGCGCTAACCGCGCCTGCGCGAAAGTGCATTTTGTAACTGGAAATTCTTTGAGAGCGCCACATTGATTGGGTAATATTATCCAATCAATTAACTGACTTTAATGTGCAAATGGCACCACTGATATATCAACAAAGGCAGCCTTGTTGCTTGCTGCGCAAACAAGACAGTCACACATTGATGCGTATTTATGCGCAAGATAGTCTTTACGTGTTTGCACACAAACAGGCGTAAAAATGCGTGAAAACGCCTTGTGCACATAAAGGCAGTACGTAGAGTTTTAGAGAGCCCGGTAAGTTCCAGGCAGATGCGCTGGAGTGGGCAGAAAATAGCCTCTTGATCTGCGACATCGTTGCCTTTGGGCAAGGTGACCCCGTGTTGCGGGTGCTCGACTCGAGCACCCTGACTCGAGCAGCTCGAGGAGCGGAGAACTGACCAACGTTGGGACATCATCTTGTAACCTGGGTGCGTCGACGAGCCATAAATGTGCGTAAACATGGCCGGAAAAAACTGAACGTGAATACGAATGAGATGATTCACGTGAAATTAATATCAACCAAACAGTGGATACGACAATTACTATCAGTAATTGTACATAATAAATTACTAGCAATAGCGATCAAATGAAGCACATTCGGTGCGTTGAGAAATACGTGGCATCTGCGCTTTGCAAGGTAAGACGGGCGTGCCAACAGTTTCGTCCATATCGAAGCCCGCATACATTACATATATGATATCTGATATGTAAGATATAATACGTCACCTTGAAGATGTCAAGCTTGTCAACGTGGACGACACTCTGGTGATAGGGCCATCCAAATGCGCTTTTCTGGACCTGTCTATCATCGACGAACTTGTGAAAGATTTGCTTTCTTCGCCCGATCTCGAGCGAGACTTGGAAGTGTTCGTGGGCGGCGACGGGTGCACTCGAAGCCCGAATCGCGGGCGGGGCCTTGGGCACTTTGCCCTGCTGC